TTACTAAAACTAAACTTGTGGTAAAACTATTACTAAAACTAAACTTGTGGTAAAACTATTACTAAAACTAAACTTGTGGTAAAACTATTACTAAAACTAAACTTGCGGTAAAACTATTACTAAAACTAAACACTCTATCTCTCTAACGACGACAAAAAAGATTATATTATTCCATGAAACGCATGTAGAATCTAGAGCTAAAGGAATGAGAGTTGTAACATGTATCTTTTGGTGCAGATGGAGTATATCAAATGTGAGGCGTCATGGTCAAATCAGGCGCTCATCAAAATAATGAAATCGCAGAAACAGGCATTTTCCCGCCAGTTTGGCAATTTTTATCTAATTTTTGTTTTTTCGCTCTAAACCTTTAATGTTCATAAAAAAAAAAAAACATTTGTATGTGAATGTTACTATAAACCTTGAATAAAGACACAAAATATGTGTTTTTATTCAGTTTTCAAGGACTCTGAAGCTATTGAAGTTACCGAACTTTGGCGTCCATTTTTTCATTAAGTTTACCACCTAAACCAAGCGACCCCACCTCCTTCAATCGCAAATATCTCTACTTCTATTCATGATGTATGAGTAGTTTCTACACCGAAAGTAAGACAAATGAAAAAGCTTTATATTGATACCAATAACTCCACATGTCCAAAATTGACGAGCGTCTAATTCCACCAGGTCGTGACACAAATATGTTCCAGGAGAGAGAAAAAACTATTTCCTTCTTTTAACAATTACTGCACTTACAGTATGTACGTTTTCTTGTTTTCAAAACATAATCATTCAGAGTTTGAATTTCGACAACATATTTCTTAGGCACTTACAACCGATATCACAGATTCAGATGGCACTTATATGATATTATTGTGTTGCAAGTGCCGTAAAACTCTTACTAAAACTTAAAAACAAAAACAGATTCAGAAACATCACTTTTAAAAAAGAATCAAATTTTTGGGCTAAGTAGGATTACTACATCTGAATAACTGGCCGAAGAATTGTGAATGCCACAGACAGACACTCTGTAAACAAAATGAAACACTCCGAGTTAGAACCTTCTTCCACTAAGGCCGCTCCAGTCAATGGTCGGTGGCTGTGTGATGTGTTCCGAGTTAGGCACAAAATACTAGCGATGTGTTCTCAGTTATCACAAAATACTAGATCTAGTGCGGCCGCTTCCCTGAGTCTGAGAGCTCCTGAGAACCTTCTGACATTTCCAACAGTAACCATTTAAGGGCCGGGCTTCTCTCTCTCTCTCTCTCTCTCTCTCTCTCTCTCTCTCTCTCTCTCTCTCTCTCTCTCCTTTCTTTATTTCTCTCTCCCTCTCTCTCCCTCTCTTTCCTCTCTCTGTGTCTCTTCCCCCCTCTCTCTCTCTCCCTCCCAACTCTCTATCTACCTCTCTTTCTCTCTTTCCATACTGGGAAAGTAAAAGACAAAAGAACCGCTCTTTTCTAATCTATGCATACAGCAGATGTCTCCAAACCATCAATATTTTACACAACAGTCAGAGACAATAGAATGACCTGGCTTAGCTTCATACGGCGACATAAAAAGTTTTAACAGTATAAGATAAGTACCGAATACACGAACTATTGTGGTTTTCTCTTTTTGTGTCGAGTAGTCGTATGTTTTATAGATAGATAGATAGATAGATAGATAGATAGATAGATAGATAGATAGATAGATAGATAGATAGATAGATAGATAGATAGATAGATAGATAGATAGA